GTTTGCCTATCTTCACTTCCTTGTATCTGTGATTCATTTAAAACTATCAAAAATATAAACTCTCATCCAGATACCCCAGGAAGAAATTTTGTTGCAATAAGAGTAATTTGTGATCAGGATGAAGGTGCAAGAATGCTGTGAGGCATTTTGTTGTGTAGGGATTGATAAATGACAGTCACTGTCTATTTCTTTTCCCCACCCTCCTGTTTTTTTTTTTTCTTTCTACAGTTACATCAACCAGAGAAACAGAGAGTGGAATATTGTTGAGTCTGAGAAGGCTCTTGTGGTAAATAGTGCTGAATTAATACTTCTGTACAAATAGAGATGAAATGATGCAAAGGGGGATAATTGCATGGTGAAGTTATTCAGTCTTTTTAGTGCTCTATAAAATCTTCCATATAGACAAAAGACACGATTTTAAAGCAGATTGCTTTGTCCTTTTGATGAACTCAATTATCAGCAGATTACTGACTGCAATAATGACTTAGTCCTTTTTGTAGGAGAAATCAGAGTAAAATAGTAAAGGAAATATTCAGTTCTCTGCAGTGATGACATCTACTAAGGAAAAGTTAAGCCTGTTAACAAGTGGTTAAGCCTTAACTATCAAGAGCTGTGCACCTATTTTGTGTGCTATGTTCAATAAGAACAGTTCTGCCCTGTGAAGTCCAGGACTGCAGGCGTGCCAAAATCTTTCTATTCTTCAGTGCTGTTGCTGGCTTTCTTCTGATCTTGATATCACCTATATAGCTGCTGAGTGCTTGGACGGGGTGCTGTGGGAGGATTTACAAGGGTGCAGGTAGCTAACTGCAAAACCATGAGCTTTTTCTTCCTCAGGCTGAAAGTCACAGCATGAAAAACCAACAGATGGACCCGTTCACTCGGCGGCAGTGCAAGCCCACAATAGTGTCCAACGTGAGTATGAGACTTGAGCTCACTTGGGGCAGAGAAACAGAAGCCAATGGAATGCAGAGAGTAGGAAGGAAAATGTTTGTATCCATTCCCAACTGTGCTATGTGCTATTAATGCTCCAGATGCCAGGATGAGAGATCCTTGAGTGAGATTGTGGTTTCACTGTCCCCCAAAAAGGAGAAAGCAGTATTTTTTTAAGGCAAAGTGTGAAGGACATGAGTGATCTAGGTGTGTGCATGGAGAAGCAGCTGTGGTTTAGATTTCTGTAATGAGATTTCTGTAGAAGTACTCAGAACCAGTCAGCCCTGGGAAGACAGTTTGCTTTAGGTGTGACTTTTGCTTCTGATTAGTTGAACCTTTACTGTAAGATCTGTGAGAGAAGTGAGGAGACTGGACATTTTGGGCCTGGGATGGATGAAGTAGTTTAACACAAACATCCCCAAAGTAGTGGCCAAACCTGCTACTGAAGGCCCTAGCTATATAAATGATGGATACCAAGGTGATCAGCTCCTACTTCTGAGTAATCTGGCTTTGTGGAGGCCTGTTCTGGTATCAGTACTTAGAAAAACCTGGTCAAGGTGGCTCTCACCAGCCTCCACAGACTGGCAAGGGATTAGAAAAGGAGTTGTATTGCAGGCCTTGAATGAAATAATTATTTCTGAAATAATTCTTTACTCAGTTATGATTCTTTTCTAATAGCTTTATTATGGTAGACAGCTATTAGGTAAAGAAAATGGTTTTCTAAAGATTTCTTCTCTAATGAAGTGTGTCAGCTGGAACTGCAAGCTGAAGGCAAGTGCATCTAACAATAGTGTTAAGACTAGTCACAGGAGCAAACCATGTCAAGAAGAAGTTTATTTCTAATTTTTTCAAAGAAAGACTGAAGGATAACTGTTACTGTCAGATGCACTAAACAGGTATCAGGATGATTTCAGTTGTCTCTGAGATCCTGAAGATCAGGCTGAATCATCTACAGCCCCTCAACAGTTTTAGATCCATGGATATGAGCACTGTTTTCACAAAATGTCAATGTGGTTTTTGCCAATTTAAATGCTTTTTTTTCCCCCCCTTCTCTGCAGTCCAGAGATCCTGCTGTTCAAGCTGCCATCCTTGCCCAGCTAAATGCAAAATATGGGTCTGGTGTATTACCAGATGCTCCAAAGGACATGAGTAAGGCAAGTTTCTGTTGCTGTCTCTGTTACATTCCTCCCACTGTCACCGTTTTGCTCTAGAAACTTATGACTAATAGTAGATGTGCATGCTTCAATTCTAGAAATAGGTATACTGTAGAACATTATCAGAGAAAAGAAACAGCCTTTTCTTTCTTGGGGAAAGAAAATTTGTTTCTCTAGCCATGTGAAAGCTAAACTAGGTCTCTTTGTGACAAAAGTGGAGAGAAGTGTTGGGGACTTACATGTAGTTTTTATTTCAGGGTCAAGGGAAGGATAAAGATGTGAACTCTAAATCAGCCAGTGACCTCTCAGAAGATCTTTTCAAAGTGCATGACTTTGATGTAAAGATTGATCTTCAGGTTCCCAGTTCAGGTGAGTGCTGCAGCTCATTATGGTAGAGCACACTTCTTCCAGAACAGTTCTTTCAAAATCATGGGTGGGCTTTTGGAAATGGAAGCAAGGACTCCATGTTTGTCACCTTGGCAAGTATCTTGGACTGAGGAGGAGGAGATGTGTGCTAGTGACATCCACTGAGAAACAATCACAATTGGCCTGTGTTAGACTGAAAGCCTGGTGCCATATCCTTGCTCCAAATGCCTGGGGAGGAAAGCAGGTAATGAGCATTTTCTGATGTCCTCTTCCAGTCTGCAGTACCTGTGGCTTGGACACTCTGTGGGGAACAGACAGGAGTGTTGTATTTGATAAGCCTTGTTATCTGCTGTGATACTTACTTTGTTAATTTGTCTCATCACTTTTGAAGACAGATGAGGTTTGGGTGTCTGTGATGTCCTGTTCCTCCATCTGTCTACATGCTTTGGGGATAAAGTAGTGGAATTTGTTTTTTGAATCTGCTCCACTACCAAGCTTCTGTTCCCTAACTTTGGTGTTGCAGATGGTATTGATGCAAAACTTTAGAGGACCAAAACACTGGGCAAGGGTTGAAGGTATCCTTACAGACACAAACTTTCTGACCCTTCTTCTTTGTGGTCTTGACTTTGAGAGCCTAAAATGTGTGGCAAGAATATTTTAGTGTCATAGAACCATAGACTCATTTAGGTTGGAAAAGATACAAGCATTAACTTAGCACTAAACCATGTCCCTAAGCATCACATCTACATGTCTTTTAAATTCCTCCAGGACTGGTGAGTCAATGGCTTCTCTGGGCAGCCTGTTCCAGTGCTGAACAACCCTTTTGGTGAAGAATTTTTTCCTGATATCCAACCTAAATCTCCCCATGTGCAGCTTGAGGCTGTTTCCTCTTGTCCTGTTGACCTGTGTTCTAGTGGAGGGAAAGCATGGAGTGCATATCAGTGCAGCTTGAGTCACAAGGCTGATTTTTCCTTGCATTATGGGAAAGATTAGAGCTGAGGTTTCTTGGAGGACAGCAATTTAGGAAGTACTGTGAGAATCCAGAAGGACTTTAAACCTTGTCAAGAAGGGGAGGTAGGAGAGGTTGTCTTTCCAAACTAGGTCAAAATTGGAACTTTGGAGGTAAGACTACAGAATGAGGTAGGATGCCAAGGATGGGAGAATTCCTGAAGGAGTTAGTAAGAGATGAGACATTGAGAGAGTCAGCAAGCAGTTGAGGGTGAGGCACTAAAGGACACTGAAAACAGGAAGGGAACTAAGAAGAGAAGAATGAGACACACAATATAGGTAGAAGTTGGTCTGGTTTGTTATCTCTCCTCAGACAGAACACCATTTTGGCATCTTGCTTTGTGCAGTCCTCCTTTTTTTAACATAAGAACCCTGGGATTGGTTAAAACCTGTGTGGTAGATATGGGTCTGAAGTTTGACTTCTGGCCAGTTATTATCTCTCTCTTTGTGCTTGCTATTCTCATGGGACAATGATTTATCAAAGATCCCAGAACTGAGCCTGAAGGCTCTGTTTGTACTGTGATTTCAGTGTGCTGTAGTGGAGTTTTCTTAAGAAATGAAAGTACAGTTATCAGCAGAGAGCTGGAGTAACAGAGTCAAAATTGCCCATGCTTTATCAGTGCAGATAAGCGACCAGATACTGACTGTGTTCCTAGCTGCAGTTCTAACCTGATGTATTCTGGAGGAGCCAAACAGGATTTTGTGCTGAAGTTGTCAGCAAAAGCAACAAGTAAAAATCTGTTGTTTTCATGTATTTCAGTCCTAATCCTTCTCTTATCCCTGACAGAGTCTAAGGCACTGGCCATCACCTCCAAGGCTCCACCAGCAAAGGATGGTGCCCCTCGGCGGTCGTTGAACTTGGAGGACTACAAAAAGAGGCGGGGGCTTATCTGAGCCTCCCCACTCTGCTGCTTCTGATCCTGCATGCTCCATGATGATGTCCTACCTTTTCTTCCTCCCTTTTCAGTTCTCCCTTCTGGGTTGGAGCAGCAGTGGAGCTGGGAAGAGACTCTTTAAAACTGCCAGTCATCTGTAACATAAACCATTCAACTATTTACTGTATAGACCTCCCTTCTTGCCCTTTCCTCCTGCCCCTTCTCCCCCCCACAAATGTGGATCTGTGCTATTTGGGGTTTTCCCTGTTTCTTTTAGTTTGAGTTTTGTTTTTATTTTGTTGATGCAGCTCGTTGGTCCACTCTGTGTTCAGTATTAGCCTGAGGTCTGGATGGTCTCGGTGGTTGCAGAATCAGCACTTGGTGATCTCCTCTCACACACCACCACAGGCACGGGGAATAAACGTTGGCGCAAGACCTTTGTGGCTGGAAGGTCATCTGCACTTTCTTCCTCTTCTTCCTCCTTCATCCTAGCTTTGGAGAAGGGAATCTTCAAAAACTGGCTTAGGTTCAAAGTGTAAATTTTTTTGGGAGGGTCGTGTGACTTTTTTTCAGGTGTTTTTTATCATTTTTAAGCTGCAGTACTATTTGTATCCGTCTGTCACAGTTCTTTACGGCTGTTTTGAATTTCTACGAGCTGTACTTGAGCATCTGAAATTGCCAGAAAGAAACTCATTAAATGTGATTCTTCTTACTAAAACGGCTTGGCTGATCTAGCTGTTTAACTTCATGTTCCCTTTTGTACTTACACCTGACTGATCATAGAAAGGTACACGGCTCTTGATGTGGGACTTGTCATCTCTAGCACCTCTGGAGTCTCCAGCTGTAACTGAGTGGAGTAGCTTTTTCTGGGATGGTCCCAGGGTGCTCGTTGGTTGGGCTTTCATTCCTTCTCCAAGCCTCTGATACTCCATCCTTGTGAAGTCATCGTGTCTCCACGGGGGCTCCCTCACTTTGTTTCATGCTTTGTGAACCGTCTAAACGAGGCTTCTACAAACAAAAAATGAGATTTAAAACAATCACTTTGTGTGGAAGGGGAAGGACCCAGTAAGGACAGAGTAGAAAGGTCAGTGGGTAATGTATGAGAGATAACTGATGCCCATTTTCATAGACAAACTGGTGCAAGTGAAGTGCAACAGTAGCACAAGACTTGTGTGGCTTTATGGAATATTTGACTGGACACAAGCTGACAGCTAAATTATCACTCAGGTGTAAAAAAGAAAAATAATCAAAATGTAAATATAAGTGACATTTAACAAAGAACTTTTCCAGTCAAGGTACAACTGAATATATGGAGCTAAGAACTAAATTAAAAGATAATTAGAAGTCTGGGAAGTTAGAGGCCCTCGTTCAGGTAAGCGTGCGAGCACGTGTTTGTTCCTGCTCAGGCCAGTCTGTGTGGAATAACTGAAGCACTGAACTGGATGGGAATGTTTCTGGGGGACCCTGAAGTGGGAAAATGCTGATGCTCTTCTTGTGTCAGAGCATTACTGTTTTTCTGAAATCATACACTGGTTACCTTTAAACCTGTGTTTGATACTTTCTTGTTGGATTCTTAATGAAACTTTAATCTAGTTCTTATTTAACTTTCTCTTCCTTTTTTTAACTGTAGCTTTAAAGAAACATCATGTAATTGTGTGCAGATTGATACTATGAAACTGTGTATAAAAAAAAATCAGCCTATGAAGCAGCTCTTCTCTACCATGTAAACAAATATTTGGGAATCCTTTGATACTTATTTACTGAATAGTCCATGGTTCTAGGACACGTGGGTTATTCTGTAAATATGTAATCATAGATTGCTTTATCTGATGGCCTGTTTAGCAGCTTCTCTGGAGTTGTTGTAGGCTTTCACATATATGTACTTTTAAAGAGTGGATTTATGGAATCGACCACGATAACTTCATAGGAAACATCATGATACACTGTGTAGATATGCATTTGATATGATTTTTTTTTCAACAGATTCAATGATGTTAGAGATTTGTAATAAAATTCTAAACTTATTTTGCAGTAGCCAGTTTTCAAAATAATCACTCTCCAATGCTTTGCAGAAATAATTGCCAAATCAAGCAGTTCAGGGACTGATTTTTCCACAGAAACGCCTCAGAGCTCTGAGGCACCAGTGACAAGTGGTCTCTGAAGGTGAAGTTAACTCCAATTCAGCATTTTTAATGTGCTTGCCCTTGATGTGTTGATTTTAGGTGACTTTTACATTTGGTAACACAAGAATAGTCTGTACTACAGCCAACATGTTGACGAGACCCATACAGTATTGCAAATAACTGTTAGTGGAGAGAACTGAAACAGAGGAGATGCAGCAAGTTTAGAATGCAGATCTGAATGATGGACTATGTCCTAGTTATTTGCAACTATAAAACTGCCACTTACCCCCTCAACATCTCTGGATTCTGCTGAAATAAACTGTTAAGAGAGACAACAGTCAGTAAATTAATCATGCAAACATCCTATATTGAAAATAATACATCAAGAAAGTACTCTTGAATAGATATACAGAACTGTGTATGAAAGCTGTAATCCTTTTTCCTTTAAGTGCATGTAAAGGTGAGTGGCTACACCTCCCACTCGTTAGAGGGGGAGAGATTGGTTTGCTTTGTTTCATTGGTGTCTTAGCATAGTTCATCACAATTGTACAGACTTCTATAAATAAACTTGGTTTGTTGGTTTAAGAAGGTTGATTGTTTATCCCTTGGTCTGAGGTGATTAGGGTTTCCTGTCTGAATTTTTTATTTTTTCCCTCAAAACTGACAATTCCTTTATCAGTCTGGATGGTTTTATTTAAAATACTGTTTAATGAAAAGCCCCATCTTTTGGAAGAGCAGCTGTTGACTCCGGGATCACTTTTAACAACTGGAGTTGCTCCTCATCTCCAGGATTGAACTGAACCTCTTGGAAGGTCAGTTAGTTCACTTGCACCTCTGCTGCACCTCACTAAAAACACAGACTTTGCTCATCCTCTAGAAATCCAGACCACAAGATGCTAAAGCCTGTAGCTGAACTTGATGTTACTGACTGGGATGAAGCAAGACTGCTCTGAGGGGGTGCTTGGTGGGAGGATGAGACACAACAGGCATAACTTGAAACAGGACAAATTCTGCCATGATTAGGAATGATCTTAAATTAGGTCCCCTCTGACCTGAATTATCCCTATGACTCTCTAAGTAATTTCATACTGCTTTCTCCACTTTTGTCTGTCTGCCTGGTGGGTGCTGCCCCTTTCTACATGCCCTGCACAGAATTTATTTCAGAGGCACAGCAGCATTTCCCAGCACACACCCCCTTTCTGAGACTGGCTGGGTATGTCTGTGGAGTTCTTGCCTGTGAAACAAAATTTGCTCTAGGTTTATCACTGAGCAGGCTGAAGACTCAACCTGTTACACTGCAGAGAGAAGAGCTGTGACTGAGGTTTGGTTAGCAAAGTGTTCCTTTTGGTCCACTTTGAACAACAAAATATATTTGGATTTTTCTACTTATGAGGGTCTTTTTAAGTGCATATCCTTTTAAGCTGCTCACAGATGTACAAGGAATCTTTAGGATCGAGGGGTTTGAGGATGGGGTTGACAGTTCCTACCTGGTTTTGGGAAGGATAGTCAACCAAAGGAAAGAAATGTGCCTCAAAGGAAAAGGAATGAGCTAGGGGTGAAGGAAGTGCTTCACCCCTGGTTCATTCCTAGCAGGAGGTGAGAACTGAAAATGAGGAATCTGCACAAACGCTTCACTTGTTATTCGTGTGGGGCAATAATAAAGCACATGGATGTCATTTCAGATTTGGGTTTGGGCATCTTGGATTTTCCCATCTTAACTAGAAAATAGTTAAGTTTTTCCAGACCACTTTAAGCTTTGAATCTGGGGGTTCTTAATCATGGGAAATAAATGCTGTAAATTTTATGCTTCAATTACTGATAACATACACAGTCTTGCTATCTTCAGCACAGCAATTTAGTCTTTTGGGGAGAGATGCTTAAAGTAGTCAAATACATGGGTGATTTTTCTTCTTTTTTTAGCTGGAATGGTTAAGCATTCACGGGTTACCACCATCTTGAAGCACTTGAGATGTTATCACCTCCTCACACACAGTGGCTGAAGAACTATCATATGAGCAATTTCTTTAGTCTTACACCATGTGGAGTTATCTGGGTAAAAACAACAAAAAAACCCTTTTGTTTTATGCCTTGTCAGTTGGACTGTGGAGGTAGGAAATATGAAGAGAGAGTTGTGGTAACTGACACTTCCCAGGGTTCTCTTTCTGGGCTTTTCTTGACCTGCCTGTGGCTTTCTTTTACTTTGCTTTGCTCAAACAATGATTTCTCTACCTGGCCAGTTTGGTCTGTGGTCAGTTTGTTTTACTTCTGTTTACCTTTGGTACAACTCTGGGTTTATACATGGAAGAGGAATAAGCAGGTAGAACGAGATATTTACACCCAAACCAATGGTGTGGATAGAGAAATGCAGCCTTAGTATGATAGTGGAAACAAAGGCTGTAGCATAGTGAAATATGTTTTTTGTTGTGTTTGTTGTGGTTGGTTGTGTTTTACAGTTGTGTGGTTTGGTTTTGGTTTTAAAAGGCAGAACCAGAACTGGGCAAAACTGTTCTGTTACTCCTTAAACACAAAGAAGTCATATCTCATATATGTGAAGGACACCACATACCTTAAGTTTGGATATAGTATGGAGCTGTAGACAACGAGAAAAGAGAAAGATGTAAAAATATGCTAAATAAAAAGAACCCCAAGTGGATCCTTGAAGGAGGAGGAAGAAAGCAGCAGTGTATTCAGCCCACCAAGGGACTCCAGATGTTGACAGCTTCATGTTATCCTTTCCAGCAGTCTGCAACTACTGACTTTGATACCCAGAGGAGCAATAAAAGGGTGAAAATAACCCCTAGGAAAGGGATAGAAAACAAGAAATGTATGTGATAATTTTAACTGTATTAACTCCATCTACTTCTGTGAAGGAGTATTCTAACTGCACCATTGTTTCTTTTTCTGTAATGATTAGATTTAGGCTAATAGTGATCCCTGAATTAGGTTAAGATTTCCATATGTAACAATAAATTCTTAACTTCACTTTATGTTATTCTTCTTCTTTGTCTGTAAACAAGTTCTTCAGAAGAGGGAACTTCAGGAGGAGCTGAGAGCAGCCTTCCAGCAAACGTGGAGAAGTTGCCAGGAAAATATTCTGCTTTTTACAGTTGTGTGTGGTGGGAGGATGAGACTTGAAACTGGAGGTTCTGGTTAAAGGTAATGAAACCACTCTGTGAGGACAGTCAGTCAGTGGAACAGGCTTCCTAGAGAGCTCATGCAGCTTGTCCTTGGGAGATTTTGAACTGGATAAAGCCCTGAGCCACGTGGCCTTGGAGCTGACATCCTGGGTGCAGGAGGTTCATCCTGGGGCCCTCCTGAGGTCACTCACAGTCTACATTATACTAGGACCCTATTTACAGTAATAAGTGGAACGAGTTTGCTTTGCTGTAACTGCTCTGCTCCATAGTCAAGCTGTTTTAAGACAACTGATAGGAGTTAGGTTGCCAAACGCAGCTCTGAACTCTGCAAATGAGGATTATAGGGCACTGATTTAGTTACAGTCACTTCTCTAGACACACAGTCCATGCATAATTGTCTTAATTTTTACCTATTAATAGAATGCAAAATGTGAAGAGCAGTGCTGCTGTCATAGCCT